AACCTATGAATGGTTGAGAAACTGTAAAATAAAACAAATTGACCAATAATAAATCTTGGTAGGACTTCTAGTTCTATAAGGATCACAAGTTACTAGTGATAAACAAGATAATTAGAATGGTGTTATGATAACTGAGCTAATTTTGAAGAATTGCAATAATTATGTATATGATAATGATGATGATGAAGCTGAGAGGTGGTATGTTAATGATGATGACACATCATAATGAAGTTCTCTTAGGTGCAAACATCCACGTCAAAAAAACATCTGTACAGAAGTTAAAAGACCTCACAATTATCATGCACATTTGAACAAAGGCATTCCACTTGCATTTACCATCCAGTTGTCCAAATATGAGAGTAGTCTTCAGTTATGAGAGAAAACATCACCAAAGAGTAATGCCAAATCATAATATGGGAGAATCAGGGAGGCAGTACACTTGGATTCAGTACACACATTGTATAAACATTGGTGAACTAGTTAAGTTTGGTTGATTTTGTTTAGCAGCATATTAGCTTCTATGGATTATTTAATGCTGAAATCTAAATATTTTGAACACAATTTTATGGCTTCATCTAAATACATTTTGAATGCCTTCAACTACAGATAAAATGTATTGTTTGTCATTTTGGTATAAAATGTATTGTTGGTCATTCTACTATAAAGTATATTGCTGGTTATTTTACTATAAGTGTTGTAGGTAATTTTATGATAAATAGGTATTGTTGGTAATTTTACTATAAATTGGTATGATTGGCTTTTTTCTGTTATCAATCAAAAAACCAAATTCAAATTCCAGTGGATGCAGTTTATACAATTTTTATTGCCTTTGGAAAAAGGCATGAAAGTACCAGTTTCTGAACCCTGTCCCATCAAGAGATAAACTTGAAGAAAATGTCTTATCATTCAATAGTTGATAAAAAAAAGTGTGCATGAACACTTGGTTAACCCATTCTCCCTTAACAGTCCAAATGGTAACAGCAAAAAACTGTTCATGCCACTTTCAACTCTGATATGGTTCATTAATGTAATAAATTGCTACTACTATTATTACTAATACATTATCTTGATACACTAATACACCAAGTGCATTTGGAGATTGTTTTGCCAGTCATGTCCTTTCCTTTGTTTAAACCCAGCTTAAAAAATGAATTCCAGCATTAATCTGTTGATTTGGCACTGCTGCAAAATAAATAAACATCATCCTAAATAGTTTCTTTTTAACTGAAGCACTCACAGAAAACAATAATATCAGATGTTTTAATCTGCATACTAGCAATTATATATAGAGGGTGCGATGGATAAATTGTCTTCTAAATTATGCAAAAATGAAAATAACACTGCCATTTTATTTTAACAGATATATTTATCAAAATTACACAAAAATATCTTGAAATACTAAAGAGTAAATTTATTAAATAAAATCGTCATTGATCTTGAATGCAACCACAGCCTCCAGATGACTTCAGAATCTCCTGCAACTATTCTGGATATTCTCCTTAATTAAGTTTGTGAATGCTGCCATAATCCTTGCCTTCATCTTTGGTGTCACAAGGAGTTTTGTTGGTCTCTCGCTCAAATGTACCCAACACATAATAATCAAGAGGATTGCAGTCTGGGGAGATAGGTGGCTAAATGTAAGGGATGATGATGTAGTTGCAGAAATTGTCTGAAAGCCAAGACTGGATTCTCCTGTTTGTGCGGCATAGTGCGGAGTCCTGTTGCCAGGCATAGGGTCTTCCAGCAGTCACCCTCTTGACTCAGGGCAGCACTACCTCCTCAAGGCGGTTGATGTAGGATGTGTTGAGTTTGAGGCAGTATTGGAAAATGAAAAGAGGAATAACATTGCTATCACTCGTGATTACTATGATGTTGACGGGATATATCATCCAACTCTTTACAAATCCTCTGTACTGTCCTCAGATTGACACCCAAACACTCTGTTGAGCTTCTGGTGCGAATGCCAAGCAGTACAGCACAGCGTTACCAAATTTTTGGCAGAGTGAATTGCGTCATAGTGCCCTTTTTCTCACTGAAGGTGCCCAACTGACCCTAATATATTGTGCAATCAACAAAATCAAAAACAAACAAGGTGCATCTCTTCAATCAGCAATATATTCATACTAAAGTGAGCTTATGCTCTAATTTTTTCACTTCAGTTACATGGAAATACGTGACAACTTGCCTACCATGTTTATTTTGCTATTTGAAAACCTTCAATTTTTGCCACCTGATATGACTTTTGGGATAAGCTTTTGACTATACTGTATCCATGAAATTAAAAATATAAAATGGCGACAATTTACCCTCTGTGTGTGTGTATATATATATATATATATATAATATGGAGGATGTTAAATTGTGAACTAACATAATTTAAGAGTAGGTAAGTTAACTTCGAAAGACATGAGAAGTACTTTATTTTATTAATAATATTAAGCAAGACATTGTTTACTCATATGAATACATGGATTTTTAAATGCATTATTGCCAGATCTGTCATGCCAGGTGAATTTTTGTCAGCATTTTTCTTTAAAATCTCTAATTCTGAACGTGTGCTTCTACCAATATTCAATACATTGAATATACAAATCATTCAATCAATTCACAAAATGAACTCAATGATTATTGAAGTCAGAGATCTTGAATGCTTTTGAGTTAAACCTTTAACATCTTCCCACCCACCAATTAAAGGCATTACTAACATCTTCCCTTCCCTACATTAAGAGCATCATTTTATCATCTTCCCTCCCCTCCTTTAAGGGCATCACTTTAACACCATCATCCCTCCCATCAAGGAATCAATTTATCATCTTCCACCCACCAAAATAAGAGAATCAGAAGAATGTTCAAGTGATCCAAATTATTGTTTTTGTATTTCAGTTCTCTTATTAAACACCAGTGATTGAACTCTTTCAGTGCAATCAGATTTTAATAACAATAGAAACAGCACATAATTCAACAATAGTTAGTGCCAAAAAGTCTTTAATTGCTTTGATTTATGGAGTTATTTTGGATATTGCCAGATTTTCTTCAGTAGTTTTGGGAGTTTTATTGTGAGCCATTCTTAGAAAACAAATCAAAATTATCATCTCAATTGTTTTCAGGACAAACGTGATGACATAAATAAAAAAATAATTTCATAAGCACTTATTTATTTATTGAGTATTAGTCATATTCTTAGTCCACTGGAGGACACAGGCTTTTTGGGTTTTTTTTCAAAATGTTTCAGGCATGGAGTGTAATAGTCCTGTCTCTGCCATATTGGCCTATGATTTGTTGGCAGGTGTTTAAATTAAAACTTTTCCCTTATCTTTGAATGCTTGTTCTACCAAGGCAAAACACTAGTCTACCCTACTATTCTACTCATAGCTGATGGAGAGAAGAGATGAATTAATATATTCTCCAAAGTTACTATAGTAATAATGGCTGAATGTTCATTTCTGTGTATGTTAATCTACTTGGGGTGGCTAGTTAATCCTTGTTACAGACACCTGCTCAGGCACTTTTGTGTTTGTTCAACAACCCCAGAATCAACCTGTGCTTTATACTGCAGCCATGCTGAGCAGATCTAAGTTACTGCTTCTGGGAGAGAGATCACAATCTGGCATGATCAGTAGTTGAACAAAGCCAGCACTCAAATGCTCGGTTACATCTTATGACTTTGTTCTAGTACAACCATTGATGGCTCCCAAACAGATGTCTACCTAATTTCACACACAAGGCTTGGGTCATTTCTTAACAGTGCTGTACACAAGGAATGTCCCCTAGGCTGATATTATCAAAAACTCACCTCCCAAGAAAATGAGGAGTTTGAACCAGGATTTCATCAACAGAACAATAATGTTCCAACCGCTCTGTCATGCACCAATAAATCCAAAGAGAGCTAGTACAAATTGAAAGCAACAGCCTCTGTTGGAATTTGAACTCAGCCTGTCAGTACCACAGTGTGTGTGGAACTGCTATGTAATATATAATCTTCTATATGCAGCAAATGCTGGTCAATTTCCTCACAGATAAAGAACAACCTTAAATTGACTGAGATGTGGTTCAACCAAAAAATGCTGAGAATGCCATAGATAAAACATGTGAACAACAAGGAAGTTTTAAGGAAAATAGCAATTAAAAGGACATTTACAAACAGAAAAAAACAAAATTTATAGGATACATAAAGATAAAACAGGGTTTTGAGAATCTGATACTAATAAGACATATTGAAATAGATAGAAACATTGAATAATTGGCTTAATGAGTTTATGTGAATTGATGGTAGAGGAATGGAGTAAAAAGTTAGGAACATGTCCTTAGAAACAAAGGATGCTAAACTACTGTGTAATATCTAAGCACCTATATGGCCTTGAATGCCAGACAATTTTGTCACAGATGAAGAGGCAATAGATCTGGTTCTATAAAAAAATGCCATTGACAAAACATGTTACCAAAGAGGAAGTCTTAAGGAAAATGTGAACAAAAAGGACAATTGTGCTTAGGATCAGAAATATAGACTTGAAATTTCTGAAACACATAATGAGGAAAGAAGACTTAGAGAATTTACTAATCATTGTAGCATACCTGCAGACGATAATGAGTATGTCCCCATTCACATAAATACAGTAGTAAATACTGTATGTTGGTCTGCAGTTGGAATTCACTTGACTCACTTCTAGCAATTGACTATTTCTTCTCTGCCCTGCTGGCAAATTTTAGATGTGTTTTTCTTGCCCTAAGTATTATCGTTCATTACCAACCTTTGTGTGATTATTCTATTCAGTAACCTTCCCTAGGTTACAACACTAATTTACTAGCTAATCAGCTTGTGTAAATGGATAGCAAAAGAGGGACTGACAAGGATAGTAAAGGTACAAGTATTGCTTAGAGTTGCAAAGGAAAGGAAATTGGGGAGAGCCATGATCACCTACATCCTAAAGGAACACTGTACATAAAAAATTGATTTGTTTTCTATCAACATTTGGCAGGTTATTTAAAGCCAGAAAATATCTTTAAATTGTAAAGAGCAAGAGAAAGAGAGCAAGAGTGAGAGTGCAAAATAGAGAAAAAAGGAAAGGAAAAGAGAAAAAAGAAAAGGAAAGGAAAAAAACAAAAGGAATTAAGAAAAAAATGGAAAGGGAGAAAGGAAAAGAACAAAAAGAGAAAGCAAAAGAGAAAAAGAGAAAGCAAAAGAACAAAAAGAGAAAGCAAAAGAGAAAAAGAGAAAGCAAAAGAACAAAAAGAAAGAGAAAAAGAGAAAGCAAAAGAACAAAAAGAGAAAGCAAAAGAACAAAAAGAGAAAGCAAAAGAGAAAAAGAGAAAGCAAAAGAACAAAAAGAGAAAGCAAAAGAGAAAAAGAGAAAGCAAAAGAACAAAAAGAGAAAAGAGAAAGCAAAAGAACAAAAAAGAGAAAAGCAAAGAACAAAAAGAAAAGCAAAAAGAACAAAAAAGAACAAGCAAAAGAGAAAAAAGAAAAAAGAAAGCAAAAGAGAAAAAGAGAAAGCAAAAAAGAAAGCAAAAGAGAAAAAAAAAAGCAAAAAAGAGAAAGCAAAAGAAAAAAAGAGAAAAAGAAAGAGAAAAAGAGAAAGCAAAAGAGAAAAAGAGAAAAAGAGAAAGCAAAAGAGAAAAAGAGAAAGCAAAAGAGAAAAAGAAAGAGAAAAAGAGAAAAAGAGAAAGCAAAAGAGAAAAAGAGAAAGCAAAAGAACAAAAGGAGAAAGCAAAAGAGAAAAAATAAAAAGAAGAGAAACAAAATGGAAAAAAAGAAAAAAGAGAAGTGGGGGGGGACAGAAAGAAAATGGGAACTGAACAAATTACTTCTAATCCTTTCAACAACTTGCTATAACGAAGTGCTGAAAAATTCTCACTCCTGACCCACTTTTCAAAAAAAACCCTGGTATTTTAATGACCAACCATCAGAAAACTGATTTGGGGAAATGGGAAGGAGTTATAAACTTTTCAGCATCTCCTTGTACATGTGTGTATGTATGTATATTTTAGAAGCTGCTCCTCCTTAAAGCATTTAAGATTGAAAACACGACTCTTATCTCCTACTTAGATTTTAGAATCTTTGCAATCTGTTGTTGCTATAGTTGGTGCCTTTCAGCAGACTGTAAATCACTTTAAGATAACTTGCTGAACAAATAACAAATTGATATAGGGTACAGTTTGAAACCAAATGTAAGCTGTAAATGATAGCGGGGGGGGATACAGCTTGCAAGAAAACAAATCAGCTTTGACAATACACACACACACACACACACACACAAACAAATATTACAAAGTAAAACCTACTAATGTAGAAACTATGAATTTGAAACATGACAAACAAAAAAAAAGATAAAAATAGAAGATAAAAACTATCTACCAAGACAAAAAATAAAGAAAAAGGTATAAACTTAAAAATAACGAAATCAGGGGAGATAATTATATTTATATAAGGAGAGTGAAGGTGCAGAGCTGGTACAGCAAGAAGAATCAGTGGACCATGTCCATATTTTGACTTAAGTACCATATTTGAATGCATATAACCCACCACCACCACCACATTTACATGACATATGAACAGGAAAATTTCTCTTTCTCATTCATATATATATATATATATATATATATACTCACATGCATGCATATATGTGTATATATATATATATACATGCATATATACACTACAGTTCGAAAGTTTTAGAAATGTTATGACAAAAATAAGCATTTTATGATTAAATTTTGCTCTCGTCAAAATATCCTACTTTAGCCTTGATTACTGCAGCACAAATTTTTGGCATTCATTGCAAAAGTTTCTCAAAGTGTAATTTTAATAATTGATTCCATTTTTTTTTTCAATGAATCTAAGAACTCTTTTACATTTTTTTTTTTTTCACTCTTCTGTCAAGTTTATCCCATGCTAATTCTGGGTATGGCTTCAAACTTTTGAACTGTACTGTGTGTGGGGGGGGTATATATATATGAGATGGCCTGCTACTCATTTGCTAAGGCAGCTGGCAAATCCCTATTGCAGACATCTGCTCAGCCACATTTGTGTTTCTTCAACAACCACAAAACTAACCTGTGGTTTATATTGCCACTATGCTGAGCAGACCTTAGTTAGTTTCTGGGAGAGACCATATATTCTCGGATGGTCAACAGTTTGAACAAGGCCACTACACTTAAACTCTCAGTCACAAGGACTTGAGACTTTGTACTAGCATAACCATTGATGATTCTATTCAGTTTTATTCACAATGCTTGGGTCAATGTTGTATACTTCGTGGTGTGTGAGAGGGTGTGTAATTCTTGGAATGTTAGCATAATTTAAATGTGCATTAAAAGTTGGGTATATTAGTCAATTATATTTGTATGATAAAATTTTTTTTTAAAATCAGTATCACCACATCTGAGGCAGTAATGTCACAAAAACACAAGGGCTTACAGAATGTGGAAGAATTAGGAACAGAAATAATAATAATGAGCAGAAAGAGAAGGAGGACAGTAGATAGTGATTGACATTGCATTTAACTTTTTGCAGATTAGAAATAAATAATTGAGATTGTTTCCTTGTATGAATATTTTATAATAATTCAGTACTCATCTCTTTGGTCCTAACAAAATTTTTCAATTGTCTCTTTATGATTCTAAATATTTTTTGAATCGCTATCACCCCAATCATGGTAGTAATGCCACTAAAACACAATGGGTTATACAATGTGAGAGAATTAGGAACAGAAACAATAATGATCAACAGAAAGAGAAGAGTCTGTCTATAGTTGTGACAAATATGGCGACAAAGATGAGGACAATAGTCCGACTAATGTAAATACTGTACAGAAAGAGAAGAGTGTAATCAGGAGGACAGTAGATAGCAATTGATATTGCATTTAAATTTTTGCAGATGAAAGTTGGCTGGACAGTAGATATTTTAACTTCCGGCCAGATTGCGAAGCCTTCCAAGACTATTCTACAAGGAATGGTAAAAGGAAGGAAGAAGAAGGGGTTACAATGAAAGAGATGGTTAGACAACATTACCAAATAGACTAACAAAAGACCCAGTGAGGAGTATGAGAGAAGAAACTGTTAGCATAGAATTTACGACTACATCTAGCCAGCTCAACTGTATATTGATGAGATCTCTATGACAGCCTGGGACTGCAAATGTTGAAAGTGAATGTGTAATACTTGGTTGCATTAACTACAAATGTTTGGATATCATATTCATTAAACATTTGATAGATTTGATGAATATTGTTGAAAAGAAGAAATGTGTCATATATGTTTTGTTTTTTTTGTCGTAGATTATCTATTAATATTCCCTCTAGGTATTTTCTCCATAACAAAAATTCTAAAATTAAAACAAGTAATTTCTGATAAATATTCTGAAATTAATCTACAAACGTATCAAATGGTTTGCAGAAGGGTGGCGCTCAGGCTCTAGCATTTCATTGAACAAGGGGAGCATTTTGAAAATGTCAAATAGTTTGGTAACAAATCATGTTTTGATTTGACAATATATATATATATATATATATATATATATATATATATATATATTATACATATATATAGAAAAAGTTGCAAATTAAAAAAAAAAATAATATTCTTTTATGAAAGTATTTATTTATTTGTATATATATTTGATATTTGAGATTGGCCTCATTATATATATATATATATATATATATATATATATATATATATATATAGACATATATATTATATATATATTCTATGTATTTTTATAAACCTTCATGCACAAATGCACACACAGAAAATGACAATTATATATTAAGTAGATAATGTTGTAAACATGAGGAGAGAACTTGATAAACAAAACACTGCTAAAATACAAAGTGTTCTTAGGCGTGGCAGGGAAATTAAGCAAACACATGCCCACAATCTGAAATAGCGTTGAAAAACCGCATGAAAAAAATCTCTTGGGTCATTGCCTAGACCCAGCCTTGTTGGCAAATTCAACAAATACTGAATCAAAGAAATTCTAGTGAAAGAAATGATAACCCATAAAAATGAAATGCAAATGTGTTTATTTGATGATCAATGACATATAAAGCCAAAAGATCAAATATTTAGATTACTTGGAGAATAAATATGAACACAATAATCCATTTCAAGTCTTGAAGTGCTTATCTTGAAAGCTATTAAATAGAAATTTCTATGTAAAACAAAATGGAACTCCTACATTGTTTAGCATAATTATCATGTAAAACATTAGAAATAAATATGGCCCAGAACTAAAGTCAATTTTACTTGAAAAAGAAAAAATCTGAATCCATGTTCTTTTTACTTACTTCTTGTTCACTAAACCGTCAGGTTATTAGGGTGCTACATGGGGGTTGGCTCAACAAGAAGCCTCCACTTGATCCAATCATTGGTCAGTGCCTGGGTGTAGGCAAAGCTTTTGTTAGTCTATTTGGCAATGTTGTCCAACCATCTCTTTCATTGTACCCACTTCTCCTTCCACCTTTTACCATTCCTTGTAGAATGGTCTTGGAAGTTTTTGCAATCTGGTTACATGGCCAGATGACTTCAGCTTCCTCCTCATTATGGTAGTCAATATGTCTCTATAATCATTTATCTGATGACTTGTTCTTTTGCACATCTCTTTATTTGTGACACAGTTTTTTTTAAGTCTGTTTAATAGCATATCAACTCCTTATGGGTCATTTAATGCTGAAATTTAATTTTCTTGGGAGCTTAAATATTTTTTCTTTTTACAAAAATATATTGCTGTTAATTTGGTATTGCCATTTTTTTAACCCCAGTTTGGGGATTCACTATTTACCCATAACTGGCACCCTAACAGGTGCTACCACCCAAGGTCAAAGGTGGACCTGGGAACAACAGCAATTAAGAGGTGGTTCCATGCTCCTCAAGACCTTGAATCTCCCAATCAAGAGGTTTTGCCACTGGATGTAGTTTATCATCATACCCAGGATGACCATGATGCAGTCAGTGTAGAAAATACCAAGTATTAGGTTGACACACATGAACTGATGCATTTTTGGTTGGTTGTTGATCTGCTCATTTAACAAACTAATCTCCTTAGTATATAAAAAACTATTGACTTATTACTGACTCTTTTTCTTTCCAGATAATATTTCTTTCAATATATAAGCCCAATGAAAATGATTACAATGAAACAATATCAAGTAATCTTACTGTACGAGTACAAACTGAGAAAAAGAATCATTTTTGCATCAAATCATTACATGCAATGAGAAATGGATACTTTTTGACAACAGTAAGAGAGTAAACCAGTGGTTAGAGGCAAGTGAATCACCAAAACAATACCCCAAACCTCCACTGCGCCCTAAAAAGTTAATGGTTACTGTATGGTGGTCTTTCAAAGGGGTTATTCATTTTTCATTCTTGCCTCAAGTGAAAAGAATAATAGCAACTTTGTATTGTGGAGAAATTGAGTGTATGCATGAAAAATTGAAAAAGAAACATCTTAGACTTGCAAATAGGGATGGTCCTATTTGGCTGCACACTTCTCAAAAGCTGCATAACCTGAATTATGAAATTTTGCCTCATCCTCCATATTCACCTGATATCTTTCCTAATGAATATCACTTATTTAAGCATTTTGAGCTTTTCATATGCAATAAAACATTATCCAATATGGAAGAGGTAATTGAAGCACTTGAACTATTTATCACATCAAAGGACAAGAATTTTTTTTTTTTGAAGATGGGATCAAGAATTTAGAGGTATGTTAGAGAAAAGTCATTCATCAACATGGTGTCTATTTCAGCTAAATAAATTAGTTATTTAACATTTCAGAAGCATTTTATTCATTTCCTATAAAGCGCGTCATTTCATGTGTGACAACCTAATAGATGTTTAAAGTATCTCATCTCTGCAGCTTCATCTTTTTGTGCCACATATCTGAAGAATTTCATCTATTAATCATGGCTGGGTTTTTTTTTATTTGTCTTTCCAAGGATGTCCTTCATGTCATTGAATTGATCCATCAATGTTGGGATCCTTCAGCCTGTACAGGGTGAACTTTAGCAAGCTGGGTTTTTTTTTTTTTTGTTCTTTCTCATCCTGACTTTAAAGTTCATCATAACCATGACGTGATTAATCTCAACATCTGTGCCTGGAAACGTCTTCTGGTTGCTGTCTTGATTCCCCTGACTGAAACTGCTTTTGAACCAAAATATGATAAATTTGGTTGTGGTAAGCTCCATCCATAAGGACCATGCCAGGTCAATTGTCACAAGTCTGTGTTCACAAGTGTATTTGCAAGCACTATATTGTTGTAGCTGGTAAATTCCAGCAACCTTAGTCCTCTGTCATTTCCCCATTCATCGCACTAGAGCCCACAATTTCTTTCCAATTCTTACTTGTGTCACAAACAAACTTTCATATTTCAGTCTCCTTGTATAAACATTATATCTTTCTTATCCACTATGTTAATAATTTCTTGTAGTTGAGTATAAAATGTTTCCACTTCATTATCATCATGGTCCATCATTGATGCATAGACCTGTATTATTATGATGTTAAAAGCTGTTGCTTGGATACAGAAGGAGATAACAGCATCAGAGTCCTTGATGTTCTTATTCATCAGGAATCTTACTTCTTTGATGTATTTGTCTCTTTCTCCACTGTAGTACAGTATATGGTGGTCGTCTGTAATATGTTCTCCAAAGTTCAGCCATCTTAGTTTGAAGAGTCAAACAACATACCTGGTGTATTTCTCTAACTCAGGTGTTAATTCATACAGCTTTCCTTTTTTTTTGCCAGTGTCCTCACATTCCAAGTGGCAAATGATGGATTTCTTCCATGTATTTTACATTTTAAGGTTTCACCATTAATATACTTATTGCAGACACACAAGTGTAAGATGAATGGTGTGATTCTTGTCCCAGATGATGACTGATCCAGTATGAGACCCTTGAGTTGTGGGAGGTTCTGGAGAGTTTTTTCACAGCATATCATCCCATTGGGATAAATTTAAATAAAGCCTTATATTTAAACAAAGAAATTTGTATTTTAACTAGTATGGCTGCAGTTAGTTATGGTTTTTTTAATTATATTTTTGAAATCAGTTTAATTTCTCTTAGAAACTGAAATATGTAAAGTGAATCAGTATCAGTGAAAAAGTTCTTTAAGTTTGTTGTTTGGTAGAATTTTAAGTGGATTATTTTGTTACAAAAATGTACTGATGGTCAGTTTGCTACAAAAATGTGCTGCTGATTTTTGTTTGGGTGTTCATTATTTTTCCATAGTAGGGACCCTAACAGGTGCTACTACCCCAGATCATGGTGGACCTGGGAAGAATGGCAATTAAGAGGTGGTTTCATGCTCCTGAAAACCTCCAATCTTCTGATCAGAGGCCTGCTTCCTGAGTGTTGTAAAGATAAATGTACTGGTACTTCCTCCAACATCTAGATATCTCCTGCCTGGATTCATGTGCCACACCCCAGTACCTTACTTCAGCAGGTAATACTAAATAACAAGAAAAGGTGGTGTTGACACTTCACCAATGAGCATAGGATCTTGCTACAAAGGCACCAGTCAGTGCATACAAGTTTCCAGAAGAACAATCGTGGTTACATGTCTGAGGTCATGACAATCTTCCAGATATTGGAAGAAGTTAGCTGTAATCTGGTCTGAAGAGGGATGCTCCTTGACAGGGACTATCATCCCAAGATACACTATATGAAAGCTAAAGTTAGTTAAAGCAAGAAGTATCTACATAAATCAAAATGGGACTCCTGCTGTAGAGCAATGTTTAACAGGATTATCTTGCAAAACATTACAAAAGATTAACTAGGTACTCAAGGAATGTGACTGATCACCAAAGGTGGCTTCACCCAATAAATACCTCCAAATATAGAAATATGTATTGTATTCTAAATGAAATGCAAGGGAGGAAGAATCTATTAAATTTTTTAAATAAAAATGTCAAAATGTAAAAATAATACTTTTTTCCAGCTTACTTATTTTACTGTAAATGTCACATTTTGCAGTATCCTGATTTATCTTGCAAGCCATTA